TCAAAACTGCTCAACTACATGGAAACTGAACAACCTGCTCCTGAATGACTACTGGGTACATAACGAAATGAAGGCAGAAATAAAGATGTTCTTTGAAATCAATGAGAACAAAGATACAACATACCAGAATCTCTGAGACACATTTAAAGCAGTGTGTAGAAGATTTCATTCTTTTAAAAACTTGATTCCTATTTCATTGCGTATATACACAACAACATTTACTTTATCCATTCAGCCACTGATAGACACTAAAGTTGATAATGTATCTTAAAGTAATGCCACAATGTGCAGCATCACTTTAGGATGCAGGTATCTCTTTGACATGACTGATACCATGTCATTTGGATATATACACAGAAATGGAATTTTTTGATCATATGGTGTTCTATGTTTAATTTTTTGAGGAACTGTCATGCTGTTTTCTAAAATGGCTGTACCAATTTACATTCTAAACAGCCGTGAGCAAGGGTTCCTTTTCTCTACATCCTCAACACTTACCTCATTTTCTTGATAACAGCCATCCTAACAAGTGTGAGGTGATATCTCATTGCGGTTTTAATTTGCCTTTCCTTGATAATTAGTAATGTTTATCATTTTCATATACCTTTTGGCCATTTGTATGTCTTCTCTCAAGAAATGTCTTTTCAGGTCACTTTGTGTAGAAAGAACATTTTAAGAATTAAGGTTGTGACATGTTTATACAGCTATCGAAATGTCATACAAATGCCAAGTAAAGAAAATTTCAAAAACTGCAAACTATAAGAAGATTGCTTGATAAACACAGTACCAAAAAGACACTCATTTTGCGTGAGTCAAACAATTGAGAAACACTGTTAAAATTTTTTGGACAGATTTGTGATGTTAATAAACTCCTGATCTTCTCTAGACCTCATTTTCCAATGATACGAGAGTGCTGCATGTGTTGAATTTTTTTTCTAGTTTTAAAGGTAAGTGATACTATCACTATACTAACTTTAACATCATTAATCCAAGCATTATCTGTCAGAGCGTTTTTCTCAGGGGGAAACTCTGATAGCTTCTAAGATTCTTATCAACTTGATTTTTGTCAGTGCAGCTATATTGGAGGAAAAGAATTAGAAGTATGAATTTTTGATATAACGTAAACAGCACAAAAGCTATAACATATGCTAAGATATTATATAGTTGGATAAAGAAAAATATTAATACCACATAAAGATCCCATATAATAGAATTATATAGCTTTACTTTTTGCACATCACATGATTGTTAATCTAAGCTTGCAGAACTCAAAACTACAAAGCTATTGTAACCTATACTATACCTGCAGTCCTCATTTTGTGCACTTTAAATATGCACAAATGTCAGAACCACAATTTAGTTAAATGATACTAGTCCTCCAATAACACATTTCAAATTTCATAGTAATTACACAAGAGCTGCTGGCTCTTTAGCCCACAAATCACTAGAGAAATAACAGATGACATGATGATCAGTGACCAATCATAGCACTCCTTTCAAATGATTGGTCACTGCACATTTGCAATCTTCAAACATAGATAGAAAAGTGTGTTTTCTCCATGTTTCCCAGAGATAAACCCACATGATATTTTACAAAAGTTGATAATAGACAAAGGGGATTAGCCTATAAAAGTGAAAGTATAGCAAAGAAACAAAATGTGATAATGCTGGGATGGAAACTGGATGTGAGTAGGAGATCTGAAAATGGTAACAACAAACAAAGACAAGAGAAACCTAGGCCCGCATGAAAAGCGAAGGTAAGTACTATGTTGAAAAAGCCTGATAAATATAAAAAACAAAGTCATTTCAATAGGATTCTAATTTAATGTAAATGGAGTTGTAGGAGAAATAGCTGACCATAGAATGCTGACACTGAATCCTTTGGAGAGATGTAGTTATGCAGCCAGAGGAACTTAATGAGGGTGAATCCACCACACAAATGAGGAAAGTGATCGTAACAAAAAAGACGACAACATCTCGGAGGAAGTGACACCAACGTGAAACTTCACATTGAAGTTCCTTTAAATGTTAAGGAACTCTCAGAGAAATTTCACAACATTTAAAGTACAACAGGCAAAATACTGGGAACTAATCTAAACTTTGAAAGGAATATAACAGCTCAATTCACCAAGACATAGAAAAGATGCTCATTCCATATGATAAGTTATAGAATTAGATAGAAGGCAAACACTGTTCCAACTACTTCTGACAAGTTTTTGCAATGATATCATACACTTTCTCAATGTTTCTAATGTTCTAAATTACAGTGTACTAAAAAACATTAGTTTGGTTTCACTAATTATTCATTTCCCTATACATTTATGAACCACAGTAGGAGAGTTTTTAATGCTTTGATAAGAAGTTTTAAAGGTCACAGAAAATTGTCATTTTTACCTTTGATTATTAAGATCACATTACCTGGTTTCATCTTACATCGCCATTTTTAGGGTCCCATACTACTGTGCAAAGCAAGGAGTGTATGTATTGCCAATGCCTATATTTTACTTTCAAGGATTTTGTCAATATAAGCACAAATCATTCAGAAATCACTAGTACACCTATTACTATTATAATAGCTAGTGCCCCTTCTGAATGTATTTTATAAATTACTTGCAGTATCATGATATGATGTTGAAAGATGCCCTTTGTTTCACTTTTAACAAAACCAGATAAATAGAAAAGCATTATGTACCTGGTAGTGGTAACTGAACTAATATTCCACTGACTCTTGGGTCCATATTCAATTGATCAGTTATGTCCAAAAGCTCTTCCTGAGAAACATCCTTCGATTTTAGAATGAGCTCACTGCAAATACCTAGAAGAAAAACAGGCAGAGAAGGTCACTTGACTAACTGAATATGGTTTTTCATCAATAGTGTCTAACACAGTGTGGGACTGTTTCTACTGCAATGAAAGGTTCTGATGTTCCATGCATCATCACGAAGGATTGTTCCAATAGTACAAGTGTTTTCTCTTGATTCACATGCATTCTTTGACCTGGAATGCCAGGTGACAATTTGTTCTTGTTTGAGATAAGCTACTGTTAGTAGATTTGAAGAGAATAAAAATATCGCTACCACACAACTATTAGGCCAAGTTTAACAGAGTGAACAAGCCAGGTTTATTATTTAATTAAAGCAAATATAATGAAAGCAGGCCTTTTAGATGTAAACTATGCTTTGCATATCTTGCCATAGAATATAAAACACACTGAATTAACCCTATAAGAAATTGGAAGAAAAATCATATGAAATTAACATAAAGCTTTGGTAACTGAATAATCTTTAATAATAACACATGCAATTCAAATGGCACTTATTTGATCATTATCATTCATAATTATCACAATTTGAAGTAAAAACAGAAAACATATTTAGTAGTAATTACAACTAAAACACATACCCACCTACAGCAGAAGCAGCTCTTATCTTATTCCTGACGTATGTATGGCTTGCTGGGTTATCTCCCACTAAAATTATACTGAGGTGAGGTCTTCTGTTTCCAAGGGAAACCCATGATTCCACATCTCGCTTTATTTCTTTCTGGATACGCTTGGCCATTTCAGTTCCTGATATAATAATGGCTTCATGTCTGTGGAAAGCAAAACAATAAATGTAATACTAAAAAGAAAATAAGAAATATTCAACTGTGCAAATTTAAGGTACAAAAATCAACAAAACAACTATGATTCTCCAAGCACCCAAAGTTTGATTTTTTTTTTCAATTATAGTGACACCTACTCTTCAGGTTCATAAATATTTTATAATTTTGTGAAGAATTGCAACTCTGTTATTTAGTTCTACAGTATAATCTATCCGCTGTAGAATGAATGTGCATGTCTCTTCAAAATTCATATGTTGAAATCCTAACCCCAAATGTTATGATATTAGGAGGCAGGTGCTTTGGGTGGTGATTATACCATGAGGATAGAGCCCTCGTAAGTGACATTAGTGTTCTTTTAAGAAATTTCAGAGATCTCCCTTGTGCCTTCTGCCATGTGAGTACATAGCATGAAGACAGCTATCTATTAACCAAAAAGTGGGCCCACACCAGACACTGAACCTTCTAGTGTATTGACCTTGGACTTCCCAGTCTACAGAACTATGAGAAATAAATTTCTGTTTTTGTATAAGCCAACCAGTCTATGGTATTGTTATAGCAGCTCAAATAGACTAAGATGCTAACTACAGTGTACATTTCTTTACAACTTTCACTTATGTACTACATATATAACATATATATTATACACACATATGCATACATATGCATATACATATACACACATTTATATATTCATATAAATTATCAAACCACATACCCAAAATCCAGACTATAACATTGTATAAATTTAAGGTTCTGCTATTTTTTCTAAAGAGGCAGATCAGCACAGCCTAGTTAAAACTGGCAACCATCTTGAAGACTGGACTCCACTGTGTATACACATAGCCCCACAATCTTGCGACCCTAAGGTGAAATCAGTTCGTTTTTGGTTAGCGTATTCTATACAAGATGCTGAAGTCATTAGCTTCATACTACACAACTCTTTTAACTTACTCAAAGAAAAATGTTATTCCATGGCCCCAGGCATGGACCCGGACAACAGCTGTGAGTCTTGCCATGCTGGTCACTGATTATGATGGGGATCAGGTCAGTAAACAGATAGTTTAGTTCCTCCCAGATGCAATGGCATCATTTCTAATGGAATAAGTTTCCACAGAAGATTACTTCCTGGCAGTTTATATGTATTTCAGAAGGTAAGAAGTGCAATAGTTTGATAGATGATATAAACTATCTCCGGAAAGGCACAAAGAAATACTTTCCAGAAAGGCTTTTCTGCTCTCCATGACCTCAAACTTGAAAGTGGTGAATTACATTGCTCTTACTGTGTGTTTATTTTTTTAAAGGTATCTGATAAAGTAGAAGGTGGTCCCTTCTTCCTTCTGCCCGTCTTTTCACTATTGAACGGCCTGGTAAAAACATGATCACTATAAAAAACAACAAATGTAGGTCAATAAATGTTACGAAAAAGAAGAAAAGGAGAAAGAGTAAGAAGCAGAAGAGAAAGAGGAAGAGGAAAGGAAGCCCTTATAAACCTTAATTCTTTGTGGTACCTGTACACTTTTAATTTTCTAATGAGGGCGGGTGCTATAAATATCCAACAACACACAAAATGCAAACTTTGTGTTCCTTCCAAATAAGTCAACTGCTCTCTCTAGTATGTCTGTGGACATATAGGTAGAACCAGATAAAAAATACACCATTAGAACATGGCCACCAGTCGTCCACAGCATTCATCTCAGTTCATGCAATTTTTATGTAAACAATGTTCTTCTAAGAAGCAATTCCAAGTGTGGTCTATGGATACACACATCAGAAAGTGCCTGAAACAGCAGATTCCAAGACCCCACAACCCACATCTACAATTCAGAATTCCTGGGGGTAGAGGTAAAACCTGGAAATCTGCACGTCTAATAATTTCCTACATGTGGTTCTTGTGTATGACCATGTTTGAAAACCACTTTAGTTTAACACGAGAGTGTATTTTAATAACAATAATAATTTATAAGTAAATAACTGAGCAAATTGGATAGACAATACAATCACAACTAGACATTCTAAGTAAACTCTACATTTGATTCTAATATTGCCTACTCTTAAAATTTTAATAGCTTTCAAGACATGAAATGTCATGATAAATTCAATATGTCAATCTTGTTCTGCTGTCTTATTTCTGTGTTATTCAGTATAATTGCTGTATAATAAACTGGACATATTTAACGTGTACACGTTTTAATATATGTATATACCTGAGAAATCATCACTATAATCAAGAAAATGAACATGTCTATCATTCCCAAAACTTTCCAAGTGCACCTTTAACATTTTTCCATTCCACCTGTCTCTGCGAGATTCCACTCCTCAATTCACCATTCCAGGCAACAATTAATCTCTTTTGTTCATTATATATGAGTTTGTATTATCAAGAATTTTATAAAAATTGAATCAAATACTACATACTTCTTTTTGGCCAGCTAATTCCACTCAGCATAATTATTTTTTAATTCACATAGTTGCATGTTTGAATGGTTCATTCCTTTTTTATCGCTAAGTAGTATTACATTGTATGGATATACCAATATTTGTTTATCCATTCAATGGTAATTATTAACAAATATTTGGGTTCTTTCCAGTTTTTGATCATGACAAATACAGCTGTTACAAACATTTTATAACACATATGCTTTAATATATTTTTTTTGGCGGGGACAGAGTCTCAATTTATCACCCAGGTTGAAGTTCGGTGGCAAGATCTCAGCTCACTACAACCTCTGCCTCCTGGGTTCAAATAATTCTGATGCCTCAGCCTCCCGAGTAGCTGGAATTACAGGCATATGCCATCATGCCTAACTTTTGTATATTTAGTAGAGACGGAGTTTTGCTATGTGGGCCAGGCTGGTCTTGAACTCCTGGCCACAAGTGATCTGCCCCTCTCGGCCTCCCAAAACGCTGGGATTACAGGTGTCAGCCACCACTCCTGGCTGCTTTAATTTCTTTTGAGCAAATATCTCAAAGTAGAATGGCAAGGTCATATTGTAATTGTATGTTTAAATATGTTAAAAACTGTTGTACCATGTTACAAAGACACTGTACCACTTTGTGTTCCTTCAAACAGTACATGAGTTCTGGTTGCTCCATATACTTGTCATCACTTAAGATGGTCAGGTTTTAAAATTGTTGACATTTTAGTGGACATATGGTGGTATGTCATTGTGCTTTAAATTTACATTCCCTTAATGAATACTGATGTTGGACATCTTTTCATGTGCTTATTTGCCATCTGTGATCTTCTTTGGTGAATTAAATAATTAAATCTTTTGCCCATTGTTTAGTAGGTTGTTTCCTATTTTGAATGTTTGAAGTTCTTTGTATATCCTAGATTCAAGTCCTTTATCAGATATGGCGTTTGAAATATTGTCTCCCAGTCTGTGCTTTGCCTTTCTATTCTCTTGTGTTTTTGGAACAGTTCTTAATTTTAAGGTACTCCAATTTATTAATTTTTCCTTTTATGGACCATGCTTTTAGTGTTGTATAAAAGAAATATTTGCCTAACTCAAGGTCACAAAGGTTTTCTCCAGTGTTTTCTTCTAGATTTTATGGGCCTAAGTTATACATTCAGTTTATGATTTATGTCTATTTTTAGTTTGATGAGAATTTGTATGAGGATATTGCCAAATGTTTTTTATGTCTATTGAGATGATCATATGTTTTTCTCGAGTGTTAGTCTGTTAATATGGTAACTGATTAATTTTCAAATGTTAAACCAACCTTGCATTCCTGGGATACATCCCACTTGGTTATTATGTATCTATCCTTTCCAGATTATCATGGATTTCATCTGAAATTTTGTTAAAATTGTTGCATCAAAGTGCATAAGAGGTCTTTGTAGTTTTCTTTTCTTATAATGTTATCAAGTAGCTTTGATACCAGGATGATGCTGGCTTCACAGAATGAGTTAGGAAGAATTCTATCCTCTTCAAATTTCCAGAAGAGTGTATAAAGAATTGGCATTTTTTTTCTCCCTTAAATGTTTGGTAGGATTCACCCATTAAGCTATCTGATTCTGGAGTTTTCTTTCTGGGAAGGTTTAAACCTACAAACTTAAATTCCTTAATATAGAGGGCTATTCAGGTTAGCTATTATTTCTTGAGTGATCTTTTGTAGTTTCTGCTTTGTACCTTCCAATACTTTGTATATAATTATAGACAAATCAAGTTAAAATAAAATAAAACTTTTGAGGTTTTTATTTTTCAAAGTAAAGTAACAAACTTTTTCCACTGTTTCCTACGAATTTCTGGTGATGACATTTTATGAATTCATTTAAGTAACCTTTTGGCACTAAGATAACAAGGACCTTGTATATTAGCAAATACTAAGTATTGCAGATACAGTAACAAATTCCAGCGCAACTTATTTATAAGTAATAACAAAAAAAACTTTCCACAAATCAATTTGTGTCAGGAATATTTTTCTTAGGGTAGAACACAATTATAGAAGCAGATTTATCTGTTAAAAAACTAGAACTCACCTAACACAGTAAGGAATATATATTTTATTTTAAAATATAAAAACATTTGAAGTCTGTCTTGCATTTTATAGCATGTGAATAGTGATGCTACTGCTGACATTATTGATTCACTCACTATTAAACAAAATAATTTGTTCACAGGCCACTGTGAAGCTGGCAATCACTGAATATAATCCAGGCTAATTATGACCTAGGCAGTAACCTGCATGAGCTGGAGAGTGTCAGGGAAGACCAATAGCATAAACGGATTCCCAGACTCCAAAGAGACAACCTTTATACAGATTAAACTTAACTGTACCATGTATACTCATGTCTAAGACTGTTCAGTGTTTACTTTAAATTACAGCACTAAGGTGCTAAGTCAGCTTGCTAACTAATTACAGCAGACGTGATACAGCCTGGCTAGCTGGTGTTTATGGGTACATTAGGAGTTAGGTTTCTGAGCATTTTTAGTAGCAACTGGCCCCTCCAACTGACTCCATCAGTCACTGTAGAACTCAGCAAG